CTCCTCAGTTTAGTATCCACACATCACATACCCCCTACCATTACATACCATACCATTACCATTACATACTGTAACAACCTTTATAACACCCAATAACAACCCTTACACTTGTAATACACACTAAACTCACTCTCATACTCTCAGAAACTCAATTCTTACATCATTAAACCGTGATCAAACAAAGAAATCTCAAACCAACCACCCCTATCACTTGATTAAAACTTGCCAAGCTAAGCTTGGTGGGTCTTGTTATCTGATAGTATAGAAGGGCAGAGTTTGCAACTCCACCATACCCTTCTCCATTCAGCAAAAGGGTTCTCACAACCACTTTTGAGTCTTACAACGGCATTCTCATCTTCTGCATAATTAGAGATTTTTGTCTAACCAGATCATCATTCCATACAACACTATCCAAGAAGACACCCACTTTGTCCTTGGGATTGTGTGTGTGCTTTATCAAAGAAAGATTCATAGCTTCCTCTCTCCAAGAAGGATTGGCTGAGTCCAGCTGCACGAGCCTAGGTAGGACCTGTTTGATGCAAGGCAACAAATCAGCAAAGAAAAGTATCCACTTACAAGTCATCAGCAAATTTGGAAAATCACCATCTTCAAGAGCTCTTTTAAAGCAAAGCAGCTTGCTTTCAATCAAATAAGTGCCATTGTCACTGATTCTCCATCAATCATTTTCAAGCTTTTGGTGAGTTATTATGTGATACATTTGATTTTCATTTTACTAATTTGAGCCTTGCCATCTAGAGAATTGTGAATGAAGAACATCCCCACATTCTTTGAGTTCACTGCACTTTGCATGTGTGTTCAATCTGATTGCCAAGCAGCTTGTCAGCCATCCAAACATGGAAACAATTTTCAAGGCCAACAAGACACTTGTTAATCAATTTATGACAGCTAGATTCTGGAGAAAACATTTTGCTACTTGGCAAAAGGAGAACAAATTAAACTCAGTCTCCAAACACCCTGTGAAACTTGTTGGTACTAAATGATCAAGGTCTTCATGGGTGTCTAGTACCATGAGATTGGACTTTGAAAGTGCCTTGAACTTCTCCGGGATCCTCTGGTTAATACTCCTTCTATACCTCAAGCAGTTATCAGATTCATTGATGATTGAGATCATTATGTAAACAACATTGGAAATGTGATCAGAGTGATTGTTGGTCAACATCTGCCTGGTAATCACGGTGACTCCAGGCTGACATCACCAACAAAACTTGATTATATTGTGAAAAAATGCTAGGTAAGAAACGTAAGATAGATAGTGGTTTCACTATGTAATATATAAATATGCAATTCCACAAAAACAATTATGATTGTTCTTTTAGGAAAAATCATCAAAGTATACCCCAGAACATTCAAAAAATCCATGGGGTGTTTGCAGAAACATTTGTAGGATTAAAGCTCTTCCAAAAAGCCAACTGAAATCATCCTCAACCACCAAAGATGGTTGTGAGTAAAGCAGCTTGTTTCCAGAGAGTCAGAAGGGCTGCCAAATCTGTTTGACAAGTCCAGAAAGGCTTGTCCTCTTTCAATCATTGGGAAAGTTTACGAAAAATTGACCCAATGCAGTCGACTTATGTGCTTGGTCTCCTGGACCAGAAGCACAAAAGGAAAGGAAAAAGATTTTTTTTTTTTTCTTTTTTTTTCAACATGTATATCACACAACTATAAGCATCCTAATATGTAAGTCCATAATATCTCCCAGAAGTCCATACTATGACCTCCCTGGGTGGCAGTTCCAAGTCTAAGAAAACAAAAATCAAACTTTAACTATTACACCTACAGACTTGTGGTTATAGATTTGGATGCTACTACTTTGTAGAGCCCAATAATGTATAATATGGGTATGTAGCCCTATTTGAGCCAACTAACATACAGGTCAAAGTTTAAAAATAAATTTTCAGGTGCGGTGTTACACAAAGAAGGGTGAGGGCACTGTATAATGTAGCTTTGATTAAGTGTATGTATGTACACATGAAAGAATCAAAGGAAAAAGTAATGGCAAGTCACTAAATCCACCTGTGACCAAATCAGCTGCAGATACACTGGATGTTGAGGTGGACCAGGCTAGAGGGAACTGAAAGTCACAGACGCTAGGTCTTGTGACAGTGACTGGACACAAAGATAAAGTTGGTTTAAATTCAGTGAGTGTGGAATCTTGGATGAGAGACAGTCACAACTATATACATGCTATGGTTTGGATAGAAGCATACAGCCTGGCTATAAGCATATTCAACACTGGAGAGCACTGAGGTATCCCCTTTGCAATGGTCCTAATCTTTATGCCCCAGTTGAGACAAAGCCATCACTAACAGCCCTTCCAATCAAGCCACTGGTGAGTAACCATTTCATCTCCTACAAACCAATTTTCCACTGCTGCAAACAAACCCACTGGATAGCCATCTGGCTCATTTGTTAATTTTATAGTTTTTTTCTTTTATTACATATTACATAGTTTTTTCACACCTTTTTTCTCTTGAATCCACTCACAAATCACTCACTTGCAGACTAGTACATTAACTCATGTAAAATGCTTCACCAGCATAAAACCCTCATGTAAACCTTCTAGACCGGCTAAAACAACTCTTATGACATCATGTAGGTTGCACAACCAGCTAAAATACCTAATGTACATGTTCTGACTAGCTACAGTTGCGGACGGCATAAACCGACCCTGCCCCGCTGTAGGACTCCTGGGACGGATAGACACGTAAAGTATATGTATATCAAAAGATCCCTTGAGGGGGAAATAAATTGCAAATAGGTTGAAAGGCTATTACAACTTACGGGTGGTTTGAAAGACCTGCCCCTCTAATTGTACTAAACAAATAACTAAGAGTCTTGTAATCAATATTTAAGAATATGCGGCTGATTCCAAGATAGATCTTACTTTTGTAAAGTAATCTCTATCAGACCTAGATCACGTATCAATCTACTAATGAATCTGTTACAACTTCAGGCTAATAATGGAAACTGTGGCGCTTATGGTTGAGCGCAAGACAGTTGAATTTGTTATTTAGAGTTTGTTAATGATCTCTTCCTCGAACAATTTCTTGCTAAGGCACTTTAATCACAACTAGAGCTCTGGTGTTACTACTACTACTACTACTTGTTATTTGTTATTTGTTAATAATACTACTTAAGTTCACTTTGTTATGGTTCAATGGTTCTGGTTCTACTACTTATAAATCTCTGACTTTACTTAACTAATTCTCTGACACGCACACTACTAACTAATTGTGACCAACTTACTCCTGTAGGTTGATGGGGGAAAAGAGAATCCTGGTGGAGAGAGGCCCTCCTTTTATATTGAAGAGTGAGGGATTTCTGCTGCAGGGGACTCCTTGTGAGTTATTTTTGCTGCAGGTGACACACACTTGCACAGCATGATGTCATTGGTTGCTATGAAACCAAGCCATGTAGCATGTGCTGAAACCTTCCAAAGCAGTAATCCAGTACAGTATGCAGTCTTATGAGATCTGTGACTTGGAAACCAAATCCACATTCCAAATGTTCTGTGTTTCATCTCAACAGATGAAGCAACAGATGAAACATCAGATGAAACACTTGCTTACTTCCTTCCTTGTTCATTCTTCAGGGTCAAAGCCTCTCTGCCTACCTTCCTTCTCCCCTCCTCATCAACTGTCTTATGTTCTTTTCCCCTGATTACACAATAAATAAACCCATATTACATAACCTACCCACGCACACACCACGTCTACATATGTATACCTTATCCTGTTGTTGTATGTCCTACGTAATGAATGTTCCTCCTCTTGTAATGAATGATAAGTGTGTGTCACTATCACCTATTCTGTATGCTTTTGGCATTGGAACAGGCACAGCACACCACACCGCCCGCAAAATTTAAAATTGACATGCAGGGCCTATCCCTGGGGGGGGGGGGGGCATATACCCACACACCCAATTTTATTGCGGTTTTGAACTCGTACACATCTGTAGAGCTCAGAATTGTAACCGCTAAGCCTCTGCACCAGCGGTTCTTAATTTTTTTTTTGCCAAATGCATGTATTCGGACATGCCTAACAAAAGCCATGCCTAAATCCATAACTATGGGGTTTAACCACGCATAGTCATCAGGTTATACCTTGTAGACTCCTCTATTATACCTGTAGCATCTACCCCATGCATCGGTGAATGCTCTACAGTATATTCCAAGCAGTTTGAAGGCTAAAAAAGCCTAAAAGTCCGAAAAAAACAAAAAAAATCCTGCTTTTTTGGCTCGCCAATTCGGACATCCGAAAAATCCTGGGTCAGTCTATGCCGTCCGCAACTGTAAATCCCCTCATTGTAAAGCTCTGGCGAGCTAAATTCTCTCATTCTCTTGTTCCCCTGAAGTTAAAATTGCTCACCTTTGTGTATTTTCCACCATCAGAAACCAGTCACTTTTTCAAAAACTTTTTTTTGCATCAATGGGCCCCAAAAGGGGTTCAATGGATAACCAACATGTTTAAAAAAGTGTGCATTTTTTCAAACCAGTCAATTAAATAATGGTGGATTTGGTTATATTTGATACCCCCTACCCTTACAAACCCTTACAAACCATCCCTTTAGCTTTGAAATATCAGCTAGACTCACTCACTCTCTCACCCTCAAATCAACCTTTAGACTCTTATACATAAAATGGGTTAAACCTTTTGTCCACCTGTCAAGTCACAGCTATCTCTTGACACGCGCAGATACCTTGTCTAACAAGCGGCCCACAAATGCATCATTACTGTGGGTCAGAGCATTAGCTCCATCTTCATGTTCAATTCTATCTTCTTTGTCTTGATGCTCTTTTGGGCATGGAGATCACAAAGAAAGCGCACTTACAACACATCAATTTAGACAAAAGATTATTTCAATGAGAAACTTGTTAAATCTACAAAATGACCAACAATCAAGCTAGTTTTATCCAAGACTGGTGCAACTGGAGGTTCAGCTTGATCTTGAGGCAAAACTTGGGGATTACCATGTTGCTCTTCTCAGATGGTGACAACTTTGCTTGCCACGGTAGAGAACTTGATCACATGGGAATTTTCTTCACAGCCAGGATTGCAACTACTCATATTTGCAATCAATATAGTTTTCCCCTCTCCAGTTAAAAAGCTTTGAAAGAGTTCAGTCAACTTTGACTGTGTGAAAGGAATGATTGCTATTTTACGAGTCTTCTCTTTTTGCTCCTGGTTCTTCCTTAGAGTTCTCATGCATTGTTTCAAGAACATGAGTGACTTGTTGATTTTCCCAGCTTCTTTCAATTGCTGTCCGGTTGTTTGACTGTCCCTTGTCTGTTCTGAGCCCGCCAAATCAACAATTGAGAGTTGTGAGATGGTCACAGCAACGGTGAAACCGATCCGATCCGATACGGTATCGGCCAATTTATCGGATTGGATCGATTTTTTGATACCAGGTATCGAAAAATAAGGAATCGGATCGCTAAGGGTGATCCGATCCCATGGTATTGTATCGAAATGGTATCGGATCGGGATCGGGATCGCATTGCAATCCCAATCCGGCACCCAAATGCTGCGGGCTGTATGCCTTACACTTGGGTATCATCCAAACTGTAAGCAATCCAATCCCTGGATCGGTATTTATCGGGGATCGGATCTGTTACATCCTTGGTCACACGTGGATAATATGCTTTCAGAAAGTTGTATGTTTTTTGGCAACTGGATCAGTTTGATGGTGAAAACCCCATGGCTTTGAGAGCTGCTTCTGTTAGCATAAGTGGTAAAGATTGTTTGATTGAGCTGTCCTTGACACAGTAGGATTTTGGCTTCTTTGGCAGACTTGACCCTAACCTCTGTCAGACCATGAATGCATTTTTTGCCGTTGGTTTTGTCTCTTATGAGTGCAAGTGGTTTAAGTGCAATACTACCATACAAATTGGTTGCTCTGGTGTGTAATACATGGGATAGAAGCTTGACTTGGTTGGCAAAGTTGGTTGTGAATGGTTGAAAGGTGGCTCCGGAACTGGAAGAGGACTCTGTACAAAGCAAGTCATAAATCTTTTCATTATATACTTCAGAATACAAAATCCAAATTCCATACTCAGTACTAGGGCTGATGGGCAAAACTGTTTCATCTTTGAGCCAAATTGGAGATGGACATGGAGACAAGGGGTCAAAGAAACTGCCTAGTCTTTCCGGTTGCCAAACCAATGATATGATCTCAATACCTGTCAGTCTGACTGGGTTGATTGGTAAATTGGTTAAGTGGTCAACAATTGAATTGAACAGACTATCTATTATCCGAGGTGATAAACCTGGGTCCATCAATCCACCGCCTTGAACAATGTAAGTTTTCCCAGAGGCAGTCACACCGTATGCAAAGATAGACTACTTTGACCATCCAACAAATCATGTACTATTGGTGTGGAACTACTCTTGGGATGTATAGAGCTGGAGAGGGAAATATGCTTTCTCTGGAAACTGGGTTGAGTAAGATAACAAGAAAAAGATAAGAGTATGGACTCTGTTGAGTCCTTCACTGTCTGTTGGAAAGGTGCCAGAAGGCAACGGTGGGCCGCTACACTAACCGTAGCGGTTAGTGTAGAGTAATGCAGCGGAATCACTGTTAGCAATTAGCATAGCATAGCAGAATTCCGCCACGACACCGCTAACGCTACGCGTGTGGGCCGCAAAAAAGGGCCCACTACGCTGCGCTACAGTGGTTTTTGGCCGCTTTTTCCGCTAAAAGCGCTGTAGCGCAGTGTGAGCCTGGGTCTCTATAGTGACAGCAGGACACAAGGTATGGGGGGCACTTTTATATGTATTTCTTATGAGAAGAGGGATACAAATAAAAGTAAGAGAAAGGGAGAAGAAGAGTGATAGAAACAAATGATATTTTTGTTCTTTATTTATTTTAAGAAGATGATTAAAGTTCTGGCAGTCTTACTGTCTCTTTTTAGATGGCTGCTGACAGTCTTACTTTCCTTAGTAGGATAGCTGTTATAAGCGGAGCTAACTCTGACGCCTCCAAATCAACAGAAACTGAAATGGGTTATTGATACTGATGAATCAGTTCAACCACAATTTTTTAGATCAGGGATGATCAAGGTTCTTTAAAGGGAAACCTATGTAGTTTTCAGTTTTACTACCAAACAATAAAAGAGAAGAATCTTTGAAGCTATTGGAGCTTTGGTTGATCAGGGCTTTTGGTTTAGAGAAGGAAGAGAAAGAGGTGAGAGTGACAGAGAAAGAAAACAAGCAGAAAGATGCTAGCTGGACTTAAAGAAGTAACTTACTGATGACACCAATGACACTGAGTAGTGGGAAAGGCAGGAAAAGTAAGGTTCTTCTGGTTGATAAGTGTAGGCTGGATCTGGTACTGGTTGTTGTGGTTTCTGGGTGGTCTGGAGTCTGAAAATCCTCTGGAAGCGGAATCAACAAGCTCAGAGAGGATTTTCAAAGTTGGATGACATAATCATTACATGTACATGTGGTAGAAGGAGCTGAAGCTCAAGGTACGTGGATATTTCATAAGTACTCTGAAATATTACAAAGTCAGTGAAGGATTGGAGTAGTGTAAAAGTGGTCAGTGGTGACTAGGGTTAATTTTACACCAGGAATCCAATTCTGAAGTCAGAAAAGCTAAAAGTCTTCAGGTAAAAAAGATATGATAATATTTTGAATGGACGTGGGGGATTTAGGCAGTCTTTTGGCCAGCTTGGCTGGCTCTAAGGCTGACACGCAGCGTAGCGTAGCGAAAAACCGCTAACACTACGGTTTTTGGATGAAAAAAAGCGCTGCTACGCTATGCTTTTTGGGCCAAAAGCGTAGCGGCCCACCGCTGCAGAAAAGGAGCTCAATAGCTCCCTCGGGGAGGATTCTAGTACCAAGGTAGGATAAATTGCAGTCTAGACCGCAGAGAAGAATCTCTGCTGTCTAGGTAAAGGAGAAGGGTGAGACTAAATACAAGGTGAAAACAGGCTTACGTAATCTTGTGACAGGTTTGTGTAAGCCTGTGAGGAGCAGGGCTTACAGGCTTGGCTTTGGAGAATTCTTGAGATGGGTATGTCTTCTGTCTTCTGGTCATCTGTCTGAATAATACTAGTATCCCAAATGTTGATGGGCAACTACTAGGCTAATGAAGGGTGATCAGTTATCTGGATTTCTGGGGCAGGATCTGATGAGGAACAAATGAAGAGGGGAAAACAAGGCTCCTTATATACAAAATCTGGGGAGTGGCCAGCTTGTGGTTGGAAACACCATGGAACAAAATGGAACAAGAGAAAATTATCAAACTCAAACAATGTGGCCCGATTGGTAGGCACTAAGATAAATGGGGAAAATTTTCAGCTTGCTACTATAGCAGAGACAACCTGTCATAGTACACAAACAATGTAGAAAATACGAAAAGATATTATTAGGGGGTATCAAATATAACCAAATCCACCATTATTTAATTGACTGGTTTGAAAAAATCCACCTTTTTTTAAACATGTTGGTTATCCATTAGGGGGTATCAAATATAAGAAATCCACCATTAGAAACCAGTCAATTATCCAACAATATTTTTTTACACCAATGGGTCCACAAAGGGGTAGGATGAAGAACCAACATGTTTAAAAAATGGTGTTTTTTCAAAAACCAGTCAATTAAAAAAGGGTGGATTTGGTTATATTTGATACCCCCTATTTAAACCCTTTTGGGGCCAATTTATGCAAAAAAAAGTTTTTGGAAAAGTGACTGATTTCTGATGGTGGATTTCCTATATTTGATACCCCCTATTATAAATAGTTCTGGAAGTAAATGAGAAGATAAAATAATAATGGCATTATTTCTCAATATTCTTAATCTATATAATGAAGAATAACCTAGGGTACCTCACTCAAAGGTAAATCTACATTAAAGATATAGAGTGTACCTCCCAGAAGGAAATGAAATATGCTTATGTTTAGAATTAAATATGCTGATAAACAGGTTTAAGACCTGAAACTGATTTGTTATTTCAAAAATACAATTGTATATTGATAACACGCATGTGGCACATTTCCAAGGAAATAGCCACATGTTTCAGCTTTAATCTTCTACAGAACACCTGTGGCAAATTTCCAAGGAGAAGGTCACATGTTTCAGCCTCCATGGATGAACAGCCCACAAGTGGACCCTGATCTCCCAGATGCCTCCACGGGTATATAAAGAGCCCTATGTCCCCCCAAATAAGGTATCCTCAGATTATTACAACCCACTTTTAGATTACCCACCGTCCCAAATGCTTAACATTTGTATCTGTCTGGTAATTTATTGTCTCTTGCTTTAATTCTCTGTCTATCAGAACCTCAAGACTTGAGGGGCATTATTAGTACATAATTATGCTCCCTTCTTTCTTGAGATTCTTACTACTTTCTTCTGGGATTTAAACCACCCCTGTTAAACAGGCCCCAGTGTTATCAGGTACCTAAATCCTCTGCTTTTGCACGATACCTTAGAGGGAACTAAACCACCCCTGATTTATCAGGCCCCTCTGTTTAAATTATATCAATATTTATTGATACAATTATTCATTTCTACTATCTCATAACCTTGTAATTACCACTCATTGTTGGAATTACACACCGGACTCTTAATTAGTCTCAGAGTTCAAACTCTAACATCTTGAGTCTTTGCACCACATGTAGCTAGAAGGGATACTCCTTGGCATCACAGCGGATGAAAAAAATGACATCAGAGACATACAGGGATGAAATGTGACACAGCCAATGAGGGAGGAAGAATATAACAAAGAGATGAATGAACTAGCCAAATGTGTACTAGTGTGAGACATGCAAATAACCCAAGAGGAATAGTGTAAAACAGTGAAATGTGGCCCAAAGTGGAAATGAGGCTAGAGTGAAAATTGAATAGAGTGAAACAAATTCAGTGGCCAAGTTTGGAAGGCTGAAGGGGGACTGATGATGTAGGACTGCATGAGATGATTATGTGATAATGAAATGAAATGGGAATTCAGAGTGTCTCTTCTGTCCAGGGGTTTGGTCTTGTGACATCCATGGTGTTTCAGGCTGGCTGAATATTCCAGAAGGGGCTTGTCTTGGTCCTTGAGGGTCTTGTCATTCAGAGGGCTTGATATTGTGATTGATGCTTTGATTTTTTGGGCCTCTTATTCAAGATTGGCTTACCACAGTGGTAAGCCAGCTCCCTGAAAAAAATTGTGCTGTGTTGATTCCTGTCCAAAAACTTGTGTAAACTTGTATTTGGCAATACTGGAAGCTGAGGTTTGGGAAGGTGGTGCCAACAAAACTTCTGTGTCATTAAGGACTGTGATGTAAGGTGTTGTGTGGGTGGAAAATGGACTAGGTGTTCTAATTTGAAGGTAAGCCTGTTAAATGAGCATGTCAATCAAGGGGGAGAGATGTGATGAATGTGGTGTTTTGAGTCAATTGGCAAAACACATTTACAATGTACAGTGGGTAGACAGTAAAAAGTGGCTGCTTATTTTGGATTTCACAGCTCCGAAACACAGACTTGAAGTCATGAGACTTGATCAGGTGGTGCATAATAGGTTGCAAAAAATGAATATGAAAAAATAAAAACAAAAAATAAAGTTTCAAAATTTGTGAAAAATAAAAAATAAAATTGATTTTTTTCAAAAGCTTTGATATTCATTTTGGGGGAGTAAGAGTGCTGAGAGAAAGGAAGATTGGCATATTGGAAGAATGATGATTATAAATGAAACTTTTGGAAAAATTGGTTTCCAGATGGCTTCAAATAGCTGTAGAGTGGGGCATTCACCAGCCCACATTGCAGTAAAGCACTAGAATTTACTGTTTTGGCTCCAATCTGGACAACCAACCTGGCCAAACCTTTTTTGGTTTCAATTTTTTCATTTATAATAATTCTTCCCATGTTCCGTTTTTCCTTACTCTCAGAACTCCCACTCCTCCAAAATGAATATCAAAGCTTTTGAAAAAAATCAACTTTATTTTTATTTTTCGAAAATTTTGAAACTTATTTTTTGTTTTTATTTTTTTCATATTCATTTCTTGGGACCTATTATGCACCACCTGACCCAGTCTCATGACTTCAAGTCTGTGTTTTGGAGCTCTGGAATCCAAAATAAGCAGCCACTTTTCACTCTCTACCCACTGTACATATGTATAAAAAAATGAAGGATGGAGAGGTTGACCTTGATGGGTTCTCTTTTTTGACTGTCTTTACAAACAGACCCTGTATCCAATTTCAGGGCAGCAATTTTTGACATTCTTGGAGAGACCATGGGCATAGTAGACATGATGGGAGGTTTAGCCAAATTGCCAATCTGTGAGAAACGTCCTGAACTGGCAATGATATTAGAGGACCAAAATTCTTTGGGCTGGGTAGCTGATTGGGGACCTGGAGCCTCACTTTTGACATTGACCCAACTTGCCGCACTGAAAAACGTGTCATTTGTCAATGAGCTACAATCCGGATCCATCAAGCTGCCTGTCACAAATGATAGAAACGTTAAACAAAAGTCATACATGAAGAGTGATGTTGTTAAGCTCAAAAGTGTTCCTGAGAACCTTTTTCTGAGTGCGGAAAGGGATGTGTGAGGTTGCCTCTGCTTTTCCTGGTTCACTAGACACTAGAACAAGCCCAACAATCTCAGA